TAAACTCAACTCTTAAAAATATGAGCGAAAAATATGGTTTTGGAACGTTAAACTCAACTGTAAAACATGAGCGAAAAATCTTGAATCTTGCCGTTTTACTTATAAATTACGATTTTACATCCTGTTCGATAACTAATTTTATTTCATTTCCACTGGCTAATTCTCCGTGGTTTCTACACGACTTTTGATGAGATTACAAAAATAAGCTTATTAAAAAAATAATTATTTCTTTACCGTATTTACAGGATGATTGAAAAGTAACTTCCTATTTTAAAATACATATAATTTATTTATTAACTATAATTTTTAAAGGAAATATACATGAAAGGAAAGCGTTTAGCATGAGGTTTTATTTCAAATTTGATACCAGATTTTGCTACCAGCTTCAAGAGCTGCACAGCAATCACGTCAACTGATTTCACCAGGAACTCTTGTGGAATGGAAGACATAAAGTCTTGTATTCACCCTAGAAGTTCTTCCAAAGTCTTGGTTTGGTCTATTAGACTTGACTCTTTAAGTAACCCCAAAGAAAAATGTTACAGGGTGTCATGTCAAGACTTCTGGTTTGCCACTCATACATGCCATAGAGATTTACGGTTCAATCACCCAGTATTTCGCTTCCTCACTTCTAAATACAAAACAAAATGTTCACCAATCAGTTTCCTTGTTTTTTTTGGGGGGGGTTTGGGGTTTTTTTTGTATTTTCTTTTCTTTTGGCGAAAATTCTCTGCATGTCTTCGAGAATAGTAGTCTTTAACTTTAGTTTTTAATCTTTTTCTTCTTGGTCACCATTGGGCATGGTGAAATTTCCATTTCTCTTAAAGCCATTCCCCATGTCTACATTGCTCGATCTGTTTGTTTTGACGTCTTATAAACAGTTTTCAAGTTATTTAAAGCCAGAAAATTGTAAGATTCTTTTGGAGATAAAAATGATTTACTGATACACTCCCTACTATTTAACCCATATAACTGGGGGAAATAATCTGATAAAATTCTGCTTCACTTAAACGACATAAAAGAAACTATCAATTTATATCTTTAAATGTCTTTTCATCATGTCATTCGACATTCGGTGGTATCGATCTGGATTCGGGAAAGTGTTTCTTAGTTGAGGTGTCGGATTGGCTAGCAGAGACTCTGAATGACGCCATTGTGTGGTTTATTTAGCCTGGAAGCCATATTGTTTTAGATCGCTGGCCTGCTTACACTGAATCCGAGGAAATCAACCACAGGGCAGATTCACATGTTATTCATCAGCAGCATTTTGTGGATGCGGCTACAAAAGAACAGTCGTGTGTTTTCAGTATTTATTTGTTGCGTCGTCTACCATTAACCGTTGTAACAATGTTTAATGTAATAAATGGCTATTCCTGGGTTATATTCAAAGATTAGCAATTTATTTTATGCCGGTTAAATGAAGGATTACATATTCAGCAATATCAGAAATATACCGTATAAACGGTGTTTCATTAAGACGTATTAGGGTGTTTCATTAAGATGGATCAAAGTCAGCAATAAATAAATCAGTGTTATTGATATAAATTTATTTATTTCTCATGTTAATTAAGTCATGGCAATTATGCGTGAAAAATAATATCGCCGAAATATCTGCCATGGCTTTGGCAGCACAATTCCATTCGATGGTCAAATTTTTTGATGACGTCTCTGCATAGTTGCTACTCTATCTCGACAAAATGCCTTATTATCTCATCCTTCAGTTGTTGAATTCTTATTCGTTTGTTGGCATGGAACATACTTTTGAGATGACCCCAAAGGAAAAAAATCTAAAGGCGTCATGTCGCACGATCGTGGTGGCCAACTGACTTCGCAGATGATGTGACCTGGGTACATCTCATTTCAAATTCTGTTTGAATGAACATTTTCGTAATAGGCTTCAATAACTTTAACACATTGTTTGATTGCTAATCTTTCCATGGTTGAAACTGCCAAAGATTTAAGTTTTTAAATCTTAAATAAAAAATAAAAAATATTATCTCATCCTTCAGCTAGCTGTTGAATTGTTGTAGGCTTGTTGGCATAGACCTTTTGAGATGATCTCAAAGGAAGAAATCTAAAGGTACTTAGTCGCACGATCGTAGTGGCCAACTGACTTCGCTGTTACGAGAGATGATGTGACCTGGGAACATCTCATTGCATTTCTGTTTGAACGTCCATTTTCGTAATAGGCTTCGATAACTTTAACACGTTGTTTGATTGTTAATCTTTCCATGGTTGAAATTGTCAACGACTTAAGTTGTCAAATCTGAAAGAAAAACAAAAAAAAAATCGTTAGACGCTTAAAATAAATTCAAATTTAAAATCGGCCCAAGTTATTGGAACTCCCTTTATATACGTGTCTAAACCGACCCCTTGTTTGTTTGGCTTGAATTTTAACCCCCTCCGGAAAAAAAGGTCAAAGATAGTTTTTGAATTGAATAAGAAATTCAGTTTACCCATTCAATTGGAAAAGTTTAATAATTACATCTTTGAATTCGAAAAAAAAAAAAAAAAAAAAAAAGAACGAAAAAAAAAGCACTCGACCTATTTAAAAGCCAACAAACTTTAATATGAAAAATAACGTTTTGAAGAAATATGACTCAAGTCGTTCTATCTTGTGATTTACCATTTTAATGTTTTTTCGATGACTAGTTTTATTTTTTCTTTGCATATCAATATATACAGACATTCACTGAAGTTGTCTTTTAATTATATTTTCTGGTAAAGGAATCTGTTGTCTTTTTTTTTCGATTTCGACTCAAATATAATGCTGTTGTCTGTAGTTCTCCGTCGTTCCTAGTTTTGGGTGATTACCGTATCAAGCTGAGGACATGTCACTTGAGTTTTATCAGATATTTTTCATTTGCTTGGCGAATAATACACAATGCGTGTCAAAAAACTTTGAATGCTCCTTGAACTATCTTAATATCTTTCCAGACACAGGATTATGTTTGAAAGTAAAAAAAAAAAAAGCGCTTTATTCAGTGTCATAATTTCTTTTGCAAGTAAATCACATCAACCAGTCTGACCAGATATTTATTTCGTCACCGGAAAATGTCAAGCATAGTCTCATCTTTGGATAAACGAAGCTTAGAAACCTTTCGTTTACCTTTGCAACGTGAAAATAAAGAAATATCAATACTGGATCCTTGATTAATTTTATCTGTTAGGACATATACAGTTAATTTTAAAAATTCTCTACAAAAGTTTTTCTTTCCTTAACGAAAGAAATGTCCATTTTATCCGGGTTGTTGGGGGTAATTTAATACGTAAATTATCTACTAAAACAAAAATCACGCGCTACCAACAATAAGAAAAACTGGTATTAGATCGCTAAGTTATGGTTCTCCACTACTACCTATCTTTTGGAGTTCTTAGTTTTCTTTTTGTTTCTGCCAACAAATCAACCATTCGTTCGTTTATTTAACACTGCTGCCATATCTGCTGCTCCACCTTTACTTCTCAAGATTCTTGAAAGATTCCAAAGAAGGAACGCTGTTTTCTATTTGTAGATATGCTTGTGATTTTGCATAGAAGGTATAAGTGGTCAGTGCCCATCTCTTCCTATCTATGCTTATATATGCACAGGACATTGTCTCAGCAGAGACTAAGTAGATTAAGACTCCAATTACCTTCTTGTCGTACTCCTGATGAGGTTTGAAATGTTTCGGTATTGCAGGTCTTCGCCAGACATATGCTACTTTGAGGACCTATATCGTTCCTCTATCAAATCTAGACACACTGTGGAGTCATAGCTTGGAAGAGGGTTTCTCTACCATTCCTCCGCGCATTGGATACTATTGCTATAACTGGTCTGGTGCGCCTGCTGTACAACTCGAGGTTACTGAAAAAAAGATTCAAAGAAAGCTGTAATGTAATCGATTCTAACCTGGAATCTCGACTTCAGTTACTAACCCTCACCGACGTGACGTGGCTTTCCTCTGTCTTTTCTACAGATATCTTCATGGGTACTGCTCTGATTAGCCTTCCTCCTTGGTGACTGCACTACATAAATTTAAACGTGCTACTAGAGTGGCAGTTAGGTCTCACAGTTTTACTAGTGATTTTTTTTTGCTTTTCTCATATGTCTCTCCCATTCGATCTTCTGTCTTTGATTAATCAAGGTTTTTTTTAATTTTTTTTTAATATTTTTATATGTTATTCTTTTTCGTTTTCAAAGATGGCGTGATTGGATTTTAGTATTTTTTGCTCTTATTCCTTTGCGATGTTACGGGAGTCGTCGAGGTCGTCCTTGTGAATGCCAAAAACCTTCAGACTTCTGCCCCCTAGCGAAAGTGAAAGTCAATCCCTTCTGATTTCCATCAGCTTCCAGCGAAAGTCATGCCTCTGTTGCATTATCAATCAAACCAGACGTCTTAAATAGCCACATATCGGCTCCGATAGAAATCAGAAATTTGATAATTTTGGTTCATTTTACCGACTGGAGGAAAAATCAAAAAAATATCTCTCTCAAAACACACCTGTTTGTAAAAATTATTTAGGCGGCTTTTGAGATCATAAGAAATCAGCCTGTTTTTTTTTTTTTTTTTTGATATTTGAAAAAAAGATTTTTTTACAAGTATCTTTTTCATAAAACGTAAATTTTTATTTTGATGCTATTTTTTACAACATCAGTTTGAGCCTCATGTACTCAAGGTTTTACATAGATAAATGTATTCAAGGTATTTTTTAAACTAAGCATCTGGCTTCGTTATAGCAGTTTCTTATTTGAAGAATACGTGTTAGTAATTTTATACTTTTAATAAATCTTGTTCCAAACATTCCCCTCAAAAGAAAGTGCAATAAACAAACCTAGTTTTATTTTTTTTATTTAACCTTTAATTATTTTATATAATTTTATATTTGTTTTATGACATCATTTTTTTACAGTTGGCGAAAGAAATGCATTGAATCAATTTTTGATTCATCATTTCAAATGTCATTTTAGATTTTTTTCGTCAATCCTGTCTTCTTTTTACCAAACTTCCTTCATACTTCCGTTGATGCTGCATTGCTTCTTTTGTTGGACCTTAATTTTATTTCTTTACCATTCATCATTTCCACTGTCCTTCCCGACTTATTATTGTATTTATCATTTTCGTACTTTTTCATTCTTTGACCGGCCATCTTTTATTTCTTCCTTTTCTGCCTTGTTTAGCCTTCTACCGCGATATTCATATTTCTATTTCATCGCTTCCAATCCTTCCTTCTTTCCTTCCTCCCTCCCTCCCTTCATTCATTCCTTCATTCTTTACTTCATTCCTTCCTTCCCTTCCTTCCTTCCTTCCTTCCTTCCTTCCTTCCTCCCTCCCTTCATTCATTCCTTCATTCCTTCAACCCTTCCTTCCTTTCTTCCTTCCGTCCTTCCTCCCCCTTCATTCATTTCTTCCTTCCTTCATTCTTTCCTTCATTCCTTCCTTTCCTTCCTCCCTTCTTTCGTTCCTTCCTCCCTCCCTTCATTCATTCATTCCTTCCTTCATTCTTTCCTTCATTCCTTCCCTTCCTTACTTCCGTCCTTCGTTCGTTCGTGCCTTCCGTCCTCCCTCCCTTCATTCATTCATTCATTCATTCCTTCTTCTTCATTCTTTCCTTCATTCCTTCCTTTCCTTCCTCCCTCCATCCCTCCATTCCTTCCTTCCTTCCTTCCTCTTCCTTCTTCCCTTCCTTCCTTCCTTCCTTCCTGCATTCCTTCATTCCTTCTTCCTCCCTCCTTCCTGCATTCCTTTCATTCCTTCCTTCGTCCTTCCTTCCTTCTTTTCTTCCTTGTTCCTCCTCCCTCCTTTCTTTCTTCCTTCCTACCTTCCTTCGTCCCATTCTTCCTCCTCCATACATTCATTCCCTCCTTCTTTCCCTTCATTCCTTCCTTACTCCCTTCCTCCCTCCTCCCTCCCTCCCTTCATTCATTCCTTCCTTCCTAACATCATTTTGCTTTCCGTCAGCCCTCCTTCAAATATCCTTCCTTTATGAATCCTTCCTAACACCATAGTTCTTTTTCATCTGCTTTCCTTGTAATTTCTTTCCTTCTTTGATGGCTCATTCCTTCATTCCTACCTAACATCTAGCTTCATTTCTAGTTCTTCTCATTTCCTTCCTTCAGCATTCATTCCTTCCTTCCTAACATCTGGCTTACTTTCTATCAGCCCGCCTTCTAATTTCTTTCTTTCATGATTTCTTTCTTCTCTCCCCCTCTTAGTTCTTCCTTCCTTGTACCACTCTTCTTTTCCTTGTCCCTAGCTTCTCATTTCCCTTCTGTCATTATTTCTTTTTTATCCTTCCTTCCTTCCTCTTAACAATCTCGTTTCTGTGTCTGTTGATATTAATTTACTTTTAGCTTTTACCTCGACTGTAACCAATACAGCGGATGTTCATTAATTTCAGCCCTCGTCTTTTCGTGTTTCTCCTCATCCTTTCCTTCTTCCACTACTACAGCCATTAAATTCCTACGTTTTATTTTAAAAAAGTAAAAAATAAAAGCAAACTAAATATATTTTTTTAACTTGCCAGTTCCCCAACCCAACTAATCACGTTTTATTTTTCTCTACCGCTACTCTTTATCAGCTTTTTCCCTTTTCTCCTTTACGTTTTTTTTTTTTTAAAAAGTGGCGAATAGAAAATAATGTTTTCATTTTTTTTCGTTGTGTTATCATAATCTCATTTTGAAGACGCACTTATCGATTTGCTCGCGCACTTGAACCGCATCCTCCACCTAAAATTTTATATACAAGAAAGACCATTCCCAAAGTCGAAAGAAGGCATTAATGCAACGTAATGATTATACACAAACATTCCAGGGAGACAGATTCTATGCAAGGAGAAAAGAAGGAGGAAGATGAGTTATTATGAAAGATAGTAGTCACTTTGCGATAAAAGGGCTTAAAGCGTCAAGTGAAAGTGGGAAATGAATACAACGCGTTCTGTAAATAGTTGGAAATAAACGAAGAATGAAAAAAATGAAACATTCTTGGCTAAAAAGATTCAAGAAGAAACAACTAATATAAGAAGTCAGAAAGTAAAGGAAAATACATGGAGGCTGAAATGTAAAAAATTATGTCAAAGAAAAGAAAAAATATTAAAATATTTATGAAATAATTTACACAAGGCTGTGCCGAGGACATATGAAAAAAGAAACATCAGCACTTTAAAGCAGATTTATCGAAGAGATGACCTTCACATAACACAATAAAGTATACATGGGAAACATTAGATTACGGTGGATAATATAACACCGAATCAACCATTTTTGAGTAATTTAATGTTGTATACTCTCTCTCGGGGGATCATAATAAAGTTGTCTTCTCTTTCTCTCGGCCGGGAGTTGGTTTGTTCGAAGGTAAAAGAAGAACTTCAACAAAAGGGATTCTTACACTTATATATTTTATTAAACACGTCGAAGTGTACATTTTCTAACTAGTCAGTAGTGCTGCTATGTCACCCCACTGAGGAGCAGGTTCCATATACGAAAATAACACGTCTGCATTCTACGACGTGTAAAACTTAACTCCCTGAAAACACTTTCTAACTCTAAAATTAACACGTTCGTCTAAGCCAATCAGAATCGACATTCCTATTTTGTCTACAATCTGACCTTAATGTCAGCCTCAGAATGTCTGAGCTAAATACACTGGTCCTAAAAAATAATAGTCTGAAACTATTATTTAACATTCCATACCTAACCATTAAAAAAAAATTAATTTTATTTCAACTACATTATATTTAACATTAATATAAAATCAGGTTCGGTTTGTAAAAGGTAGAAATTTACTCAAGACTTCAAAAAGTTGGGATAGATCTGAGTTACATTAGAATCAAAAGGTAGACGGAGGACCGGTGTAAATTATAGCAATAAAAGAAGGTTGGTAGACACAAGGTTAGGTTTACGCTAGAATAAATTTAGGAAGAGGTTCAGTCGACACTAGAGTAAAAATTTAGGCATATGTCAGGTTTACACAAGATTCAAGAATATACGCATAGATCTGGGATACAAAAAGTTAAAAATGTGTATATGTGTTCATATCTATCTATCAATTTATCTATCTATCTATCTATCTATCTATCTATCTATCTATTTCAGTATGTTCATATCTATCTGTCTATCTATCTATCTATCTATGACTGCCATGTCAATAAGAAAGCACATTCAGTTTTTGTGGTCTTTGATCACGATGTCAGGGCGATTAGCTTTTATTGTTTTGTCGGTGTATATTGTAAAGTCCCATGAAATTATTATAGATCCTATACATATAACCTGGTAAGTGGGGATCTTTATACAAGTTTCAATTATATATATATATATATATATATATGGTTTAGACTATACTAAAATACTTGGTAAAAACAGGTCCAGTTTACATAAGATGCAAAAGGGTTTACATAGATCAGTTTTACCCTGTTGTAAACAAAAAAAATAAGGTAAACAGGACCGGTTTAAACTGGAATCAAAAGATAGATATACGCCTGGTTTACGTCTCAGTAAAAACGCTGAGAGGTGGAGGCGCAAGTCTCTATCCAATTTCCGGGGTGCTCCGACTACATGAATAAAAACGTGCTACTAGATTGTCATTTAGTTCCCACATTTTTGTTGCTGAAACAGTTAAATGCAACCGCCAATTCTACTCCAGCAGTTTCTTTTCTCGCACTCCCAACTGTGGGACTATCTTCCGTTTCCTTGCTTCCCTGATAACTACAATCTTCAAAACTTTAAATGCAACGTCAATCGCCATCTTCTGTCGTCTTGAACCTCATATTCTAAGCCTTGTCTTTCAATTTAACTCCCTGTAACCACCGGCGTACTAGGGGCATTCACGCCTTGCTTGGGGTGAAATGATTAAAAAACAAAACAAAAAATATAAACTTAATTTTGTAAATCTAAACCGTTATATTTTCAAGGCAGTAAGGAATAAAACTGATTTTAAGTTCACTGTTCAAGAAGAAATATATATTGAAAACACATTTAGAATTCTCCAAAAACTTTAATATTTCATCCATAATACCAAGAGAAAGGCATACAAATCTTCAACAATAAGAATATAATAGCAACAACAACAAAAATAACATCAGGAACAATAAACTATATAAAAATAGACATATGATATTGTCTACCAACTCTTTAGCATCTACTATTAAAAACAATATATCCAAGAATAATAATTTCGACCTCATCTAAACTATTATGAACGCGATAAGAACCAAAGATGTTCATAGCATTAATTCTGAAGCAGGTATATATAAAGTAAATGGTCACAGCTGTTACTTACAATATATTGGTGAAACGTGCAGAAAGGTAAAAAAAAGTATTTATGAATATCAGAAGGATGTCCTAAAAAACAATTTATACAGTAGTTCCACCCAGAAATAATTTGGATGACAACTTCGATCCGAAGAATGCTATACTTATTAAAAGTGAAAATGTTCATAGCATTAATTCTGAAGCAGGTATATATAAAGTAAATGGTCAAAGCTGTTACTTACAATATATTGGTGAAACATGCAGAAAGGTAAAAAAAAAGTATTTATGAACATCAGAAGGATCTCCTACAAAACAATTTATACAGTAGTTCCACCCAGAAATAATTTGATGACAACTTGATCCGAAGAATGCTATACTTATTAAAAGTGAAAATGTTCATAGCATTAATTCTGGAAGCAGGTATATATAAAGTAAATGGTCAAAGCTGTTACTTACAATATATTGGTGAAACATGCAGAAAGGTAAAAAAAGTATTTATGAACATCAGAAGGATCTCCTACAAAACAATTTATACAGTAGTTCCACCCAGAAATAATTTGGATGACAACTTCGATCCGAAGAATGCTATACTTATTTAAAGTGAAAATGACACTGACAAGATACGGCACAAGGATCTATTTGAACTGCTAGAAGTACTGGATCTATTCGGAAAGGAAGTTAGAATAATCCATTTACTGGGATCAAATCCCAGGCATATGGATAGAAAATAAATTGAGCAGCTATACAAAACTAGAAAGTGTCTTCTCATCAAATTTTGTCAACCTGTACCTCGAGTCTATCCTATGAGATATGGAAACCTTACCAGGATTTAATCTTAACAGTATAAAGTACGCAGATGAAACTGTGTAGATGGTCGACTCGGAAAGGAACCTACAAGATCTCCCTAAACAGGGTAGGGTAGAAGAAAGCAGAAAATAAGGTCACCTTCTTCTTCTTTTTCTTCTTTCTGTTGTGTCCATTCGGGGTGTTGACGATCATAGCTCTCCACAATTTCCTATCCATTGTCTATTTATTATCTTTCCTAAATCCTGTTCTGACATCCATTGAAACAATTTTGTTTTGCTTCTTCTTTTGTGCTGTGTCCCTTGCAGACGTTAGCGATCATGACTCTCCACTATTTCCTATCCTTTGTAGCGCTTAATGTATTATGTTTTTATTATCTCCCTAAACTCTGTTCTGACGTCCATTGAAACAAGCTCGTTTTGCCTCTTCTTTTGTGCTGAGTCCCTTGCAGACGTTAGCGATCATGGCTCTCCACAATTTCCTATCGTTTGTAGCCCTTAATAGTTTTTATCTTTTATTCCCAAAAACTTGTACCTCCATCCATTTACACAAATTCGTTTTTATTCTTCTTCTATTGCTGTGGCGTCCCTTAAGGACGTTGGCGATCATAGCTCTCCACAATTTCCTGTAGCTCTTAACAACTAATGGTCTGGCATGCATTCGCACAAGCCAGAAGAAAAAAGAACCAAAATACGAGTTACGAATTTGAGATGTCAACATCAGGCTAGTTTTTGAAGTTTAAATATCTGGTGAGTGTTTTAACAGAATATGGCACCGAAATCCGAAGCAGAATTAGATTAGAGAACAAAATATTCCACAAGTTAAGTAAGGTTCTGAAACAGAGAAATTCTCTTAGAAACAAAGAAAAGATTTACTGGATTGCTATGT